GGCGGCCAACTATTGCTATCTGAAAGAATTGCAAATCAGGATAAAAAATAGGAACAACAACAGTCATCATCAAATTCACTTAGAAATAGACCAACATATTCTTGTTGTATTACAAAAGTGGTTTAGGCTTAACTCAACCCTACAAAACAATTTATAAGATAAGGATTGCTTCCACTAGTCTACGAGAATTTGATTATCATCATATTCCTCATTGATACGAATCTCTAACCAATGCGGAATCTCTGTATACCCTATCAAGTTAAAGACCGAACGCACGTGTCAAACGTGAAAATAAATACATAGTGAAAATAAATACTTATGAGTGATCCGGTAGCTGCTTGATGGTAGGTGTTAAGAAAGACCTAACAAACCTCGTTGAGATAGACTCTAATACAAATCAATTAGAGATGATACCAAAATAACTTAACTGGAGGCAGTGCTAAACTGGTTTTTGAGGGTTGAATTAGACCTAAATCACTTTGTAAAAACAGGAGAAAACTTCTTCACCTATTTACAGCATATTATGCGCTGTGTTCCAAACCATTAAAAAAATAAAAATAAAAATAAAAGTAAAAACCTTATAAGAATCTGAACAGTGTTCCAGACCATACCTGTATTCCAGATTGAAGAAGCTTGTCATAGTTTGCTGTCTCCAATGCATTCTCAACGTCTCGAGACATGTCATGGATTTTATCCATGATCAGATTCAAATCCAGAGGCGGCATCTCATCATCAAAGTCTAAACGTGCTTCAATCTCAGTAAGCAACTCAATGCACTGACTCCTCAAAGATCGAACAAGAGAAGAAAAACCACCCTGTCCTCAGAAGTAACTAATGAGCCAAGTCTTATATCAAACATGATGATGATACAGTACAACATAGAAAACATTGAATTAAAATACCTGAATTCCTTGCAGTGCAGCATCTGCAGCAGCCACAGATTTGGCGGCAATTAATCTTGCAACATTTTCGGCTTGTGAGAGATCCAAACGACCGTTAAGATAAGCGCGAAGAGTAAACTCGCCTAAAAGAAAACACCAATAAGCAATCTGGATTTCGTTTTTGAGCGAGGTTAAAAGAGTATTAGGTTTATTCAGAGTAACAGAGACCCACCTGGTTGAGCAAGAGTTGCTCCAGCTTCCAAACAAGTCCTTAGCACGCGGCGCAGACACACTTCGCTCCCGTGACACTGAAGCTCTACCACGTCTTCGCGCGTGTACGACCTCGGGGCCAGCATCGGCACCGCCAAGACCTCGTCGATCACGTTGCCGTCGGAGTCCAAGACCACGCCGTATTCCACGACGTGGCTGGTGGGCCGCCACGCGTTCCTAGCGGGCCGAAACACTCGACCAGCAATAGATACTGCCTCAGGGCCCGAAAGCCGAACAATTCCAACGGCGGCAGGTGGCCCCCCTAAGGAAGTTACGATGGCCGCAATTGTGGTCCCACTCCCAACAACCTCGTCGACACACTCCCCCGCACCCAACCGCTCGTCTTTCTTCACCACCAACTTGTAACTGTCTGAACCTGCACAGGATTTAACGGTTCTGGAGGGTTTGGAGGAAACAAGACACGGCCACGTGACGCCACAACTCAAAAGCAACGCCAGCGGTTGGCGCCGCGGTGGAGCGTAGGTGGTGCACGTGTTTATGTGACGAAGCACGGCGCGGAGAGCAGCCATTCTGCTCCAGTTTCGGTTTCCTGTCTTGCTGAAGCTACTGTTTCTCTATCTATTTATCAATCTTTATTTTCCGCCGAACCTCGGGCCCATTTTATCCGTCTGTAACCTTTAATGGGCTTTGGCCCATCACTTCACTCCCTTCAGAGCCAATAATGTTATTACCTTTCTCTTGTAATAACAGTAATTGTTGCTCTGTTTATTTTAAAGCACTAGCTCAAACTGTAAAATTTAGTTAAAGAATCTCAAAAGTATTATTATCTTAAACTATGTTTTAATGTAATTTTTTGTTAAAACTATTAATTTTATAATCAAAACTAGCAAAACTTTTAAAAATAATAAAAACTTTAAAAAATTATATCAACCCGATTAAATTAAACATTCTCCTCCTCAAGACAATGGCATTTTAAAAAACTTAAGTTATTAATGCATTTTTTTTAATAATGGTGGCTAGATGGATCATCTGTTAGGTTGAGGGGATGGGTTAACTAGTTATATTTTCACTATGAAATATGATATAGGTACAAATTTAATTTAAAGATAACCTATTATTTAATATATGCAAGTGAACTATTAATAGTCATAGATTTCAAGTAATATATAGCAGCCATTAATAAATATTCATAGTACTCTATCTTATATGTCAAGTATTTTGGAATGCACAGTAAAAACTTATTAAGAAAAAGTTGTGTGTGTGCTTTAATATATATTGTATGATGAAAAACATTAGAAATACTCCATGGACAAAATCATGAGGAAGACAAAATTAGAGATTTTTTTTATATAAATAATCATATTTAATGTGTTCCATATTGTTTATGGTGAAGTATATGTAATTATATTAAAATTTTAAGAATAATAAAATAATTTAGTTTTAATTGATTAAATTGAATTAGATGTAAGTTTAAAAAGAATTAAATCGTTTTAAAAATATGTTGTATTTCTGCTTCTTTCTCTTTTTTATTGTTCTTTATATTATCATAAATTTGGTGTTAATTAATTTTAAAAAATATTAACTTTGTTATTAAATTCTTTGAACCAAACCTTTTTAATTATTGTTCAGCATTCTAGTTCTTACATTAATAGTATGAGATATAAATTTCTCAACTTTATTAAAATGAATTTTTTAATTGAATAATGATAAAATAAATTATAAGTTATATTAGTTAAATAAGTAACCACAAGCATGTAGGTGAGGATTGAAACACTTGTGTATGTGAGCATCGAATTTATGCATCAAGTAAAATCACACAATATATAATAACTGTTTTCACATATTGAATGTATTGAATCACAGTTGTTTTTTTATACATCCTAAAATGGAAGAGATTGATTGTCAAATTTGGATGATTATTTTATGCAAATACAACTCTTTTATCTTTCCTTCCAACTCTTCTTTTAATTTTGTTATATATATATATATATATATTATATTGTGAGTAGTACATATTATTGGTCATAATTGGAGTGTTTATTTATTTTGAATTAACCTTAGAAAAAGTCAAATCTGAAGCCAATAATGATTATCGTTTTTTGTAAAGAGGAATTATTATTTTCACTTTTGACAATGATCAATCAAACATTCTGTGCATGTTATTTTGACAAGTCTCTGGTCATAATAATGTCAAAAGAATAGAAAAAGAAAAAGTCTCAGCTGAAAGTTCTCATCTAATTAAAGGACAGTGATAAAGCTTCAAACATTTATTATACCTCTTTTCACCATTTTAATAAACACTGCATGTGAATAATGTAATACAAGTCATTAATGTATCACTTTAATTATTTGGCAAATCACACAAATGGTGTATTCTTTTTAAAATTAAGATTTAATAAAAATATTACTTTCTTTGTGTTTAATAAAAAATATGTAATTATTGACATGTGATATTTCAATAAAGTTATTTTAAAAAAATATATTATTTTAATATATCTTAAAAAAAATACTTAAATTGTGCTAATTCATTATATAAGATAAAGATTTAAAAGCAAATTAAATTGCTAATAGGTCTTAGAGATGCTTAGGAATTACTTTGAATTGTTTGAATTTTTTTTTCAAAAAATCTTATGTAATACTCTAAAGTTATTTAAAATATTTTATTTACAAACAACTTAGCTTTAGGAATAAACAATTTGAATACAAATTAAAAAAAATATAAAATTATAAGTTGTTTAAATGTTTTGTATCAAAATAAACTTAAGTACAAATTATCTATAAAGATATATAAATTATGAATATATAAATTAACTCATGTGAAGAACATATTTTAAGTTTTTTAGTCACACCAATCTTAAAAAGAAAGTTAGGATATACAATTGGAAAAATCCCATTATCTTTATTTTATAATTAAACAACACAATATCTTTCTCTTACTTCAACGATTTTTTCAAATATTGTTCCTATGATTTGTTTTAAAAAATTGATATAACGATCTCAAACTATCCTTGCGTTTATTTATTAACTTAGTATTTTTAATTGATTTTTTTTATTTCGTTTGTGTTTAATCATAAATTGAATTTAACAATTTTTAAAATTATTGAAAAAAAAATCATATGTAACATATTAAATTATTTATTATAAATTTGAATAAAATCATGTATGAAACATTTATTTTATATTTTCATTATATTCGTGTAAACACTAATTTAGGCAATTTTTAAAGTCTTGTACTTTTTATATTCCAATATGCGCTTGAACACTTTATTTCGAAAAAGAAAAACTTTTTACGAAGTGTGCTTGTATGAATCTGGCTTTGTTTTGCTTCTTCGTTCATGCAAGAGCCAGAGACATCCACCTGTTGTATCTGTCTGTACGTAATAAAAAGTAAGAAAAAGTTAAAAATCCACCTCCTCCAGTAATCTCTTCTACCATTTTCATTCAAAGCTAAATCGCGGTGAATTACAGAGTGGGGAAGAAAAAAAAAGTACACAATCTTTGTATTTATGACGGGACGATGGCTCAATGAGAGAGGAAGGGATGATGAACAACAACTTCGCTTTTGAAAAGGAGACCATATATTCTTCATACAAACACGCAACTTAGATTCTATGGACAACCAAGTAAAACAACAATTGAACAAGTGAATGCTCATTGTTTAATTTCTCCACCTTTAAGATAAGGATCCTTGAAGCAAGCACTAACTGTAACAGTATCTGAGAGGACAGTATCTGAGAGGGCGCTTCTTCTACTACACCTTTTCCTATCTAATCCTCCCCATCCATTACTGCCTAACTACTGTGCAGAAAACTTTTGGTCTCTACTCTCACAACAATATTTCATCAATGCATCCCTATTTCTCTCTTGCTCTCAAGAAATTCATCTTTTTCAAGGGTCCACAACTACCTTTGGAGAACAATATGCAACAGCCTCTGCAACAGTGAGGAAGATCTTGTCCTCGCCAATTGTGTTTGCAAAATTGGATGCGTAAAGCTTGTCTATCACTGCTGTACCAGGATTTGCCAGAACAAGCTTGTATAAAAGGAAGAACTTACGGTAAGATTCTATGCTAGTTGCATAATATATCATTCTCTAATCACTTATATGATATGGATCTTATTCTTAGGCTGAAGTTCATTAGTTACCTCAACTCCTCTCTTTTCAAGACTTCTGTGTAACTCTTCAAAGGCTTGGATGCCACTTGTGTCGATGTCAGTAACGGCTGCAACATGAACACGAAAGTTAATAATACAAAATTAACAAGACGAACATGAAGGTTTTACTCCAGCAATATTGTAAGGTATAACAAACTAAGGACTAAAAGAGAGGAGGCTCTCACGTGACATTTCAACAATCAAAAACTGGATTTTTGTGCGGTACTCTCCTTTCACTTTTTCTTCTTCATCCATCAGCCATCTTAATGTCCTGCAAAAGAGTAGTTCTTAAGCGACATGAATATGTTAAATTGAAAAACAGTGTCACAAAATTGGGATATCCCATAAGATATATTGGATAGAGACTGGGTATTTTCTCATGATTTACAATATTGTTCGTTTTTTACATCCACATAAATTTTGTCTTACGTTTTTGATACTAATCCGTCCTTAATCCTTAGGCATTTATTATTGCCAAAAAGCTTAGCAATAGTGTACAGATTGCATTGTTTCACTTCAGTTTATTCAAAAGAGTACGATATAAAATAATTTCTCATCTGTAAACGAATAAACAAAGGAGGAACACGCCTTTTACCTTTCTTTAACATAATTAGAGTTGGAAAAATATATTGCAGAATCAACTCTGACAATCAGTACACCTGGAACCTTACTAGCTTCTGGATATTGTTGGATGTTTCTATAGACAGTTGTTCTAGGAATCTTCCCTAGAATCGCAGTTCGGGGCCTTGTCACTTGTAGTAGGATCTTTGCAAAGGATATAGAGACCTGCCATAGCATTTAGCAATTAATATACGAAATGAACAAGATTAGTGAGAAATTACTTTGATCTTTTAGAGCATAAGATAACTAAGCATTGATTATAGCACTTACAGCAATTAGAAGTCCTATCTCAACCGAGACAAAAACAACACCAAAGAATGCACCCATGCAAGCAACAAAGTCAAATTTATCTATCTTCCAAATCAAAATTGCTGCCTCAAGGTCTATAAGGTTGATAACAGCAGAAATGATGATGGCAGAAAGAATCGCATTTGGAGTGTACTTAAAAAGGCGAGTCATGAATTCCAGGGTTAAGAACACAACTACTGACATCACAATGTTAGAGACTGCAGTTTGGCAGCCAGCCATGAAATTTACAGCTGACCGAGAGAACGAACCTGAAGGAAAGAGCAATATCAGGGGCTAAAAAAACTTCATAAATCACTTGACCCCAAGATAATTATAGTCCCAAATTCTGTTTATGTTCAGGTAGACATTAAATTGAATAGAAATAGATCCAACTTTATCTGCTTAGTATTTGGTTTCTTCCGTTTTTGTTTGATATTTCATAGCTAAAAGTAGATATTTATAAGACTTGACCACTTGTTACATATTTCTTAAACTTGAAGTTGATGACAAAAATTAGTAAGATTCATAAACCTTGTCTTCGAGCTTACCGGTTGCCACATAACAGGAAGTCATCGAACCAACAACATTCATTGCTCCTAGTGCAACCATTTCTTTGTTTCCATCCAGTTGATAGTCCTTGATAGATGCAAATGTTCTTCCAATTGCTGTGGCTTCCTGGCAATCGAAAAGTAATAATTTAATCAGAAATACAGGAGTAAATGGACAAATACTCTTCAAGAGAGGTATTGGTGTCAAAGTTACTTACAGTCAATGCTATCATGCCTGCCACGATGCCAATTTTAAAACCTTTTGCAAGGTTTTCTCCGGTCAAATAAAGATCTTTAACAGATGAAGGATTGATTCCTTTTTCTATTTTTCTCACCTTCACATATCAATAGACAAAAACTTCAATTTAGCCGTAACTAATATTATGTCAACCTTGCCACCAGTTGGTCCTAAAATACGCTGATAGTCTTATATGATAATGGACACATACTTACAATTTCTACTCCTTGCTTATCTGCACGGGTTATGAATACAAAAAAAGTGGACAAAATAACGGATATCAACGGAGCAATTGCTGGCACCCAGAATAATCTATTGTTTTTCTTTCCCTGATGCACATAATATGAAAGAATGGGAAAACAGTTAATCCTAACGATTAATTAGGGAGTAATATAAAAATGAATAAGGGGGGTTCTCTAATGTCTTACTATGTATTTGGCGACCAGAAGAAAACCCAAAAAGCTAGCTCCAATAACTATAGTTTGCCAGTTCCACTGCATGATGATAAGTGTTATAAATTATTAGTAAATTTTGTTTCAATATACATACACCAGTAACATCAACTGTTGGCAATTTTAAATTTAGGCACGGACTTGTTCAGATTAGGACTCCTGGTAATTAATAATTTGCATGTATATTGAGAAAGAGAAGGAGAGTATACTCCATGATGTGCTGTATTGAATACTGAATGCAGCACGGAGATAATATCAGTTTTCTTTGTGAAATGTTGAGTTTTAATGCCAAGGAAACCCTTCAGCTGTTGAAGGGAAATTGTGATGGCAGCACCCCCCATAAAACCGACGATAGCAGCATGGGATAGGAAGTCAATCAAAAATCCTAACCTGATTGAAAAAATAAACAAATTAAATAATGCAACTATAAGGTTATATGGTGTTATATTAATCAGTGTAACCTTCATTGCAACTGGTAGCAGTTGCACAAGACAAACTTCAGTGGTTGGAATGTTTAAATGAAATGGGTGGGAGTGTTTTCATACCTAAGAACACCAAGCGTTGCTTGAGTAATTCCAGCAAAAAAAGTGGCCGTAAAAGCAAGTCGCCGATATTCTGCCGCATTTTCCTTAGGATCAATTTCATGACTAAGTAAGGTCCCCAACAAGAGAGAAACCACTGCTACTGGTCCTATAGCAATATCACGAGAGCTACCCATGACAGCATAAATCAGTGGTGGAACAAAACTTGAGTCTGTAAAGTAAACAAGTTGAAAGAACAAAATGCAAAAAGATCAGGCTAACATGCAAAGAAAACAAGTTGAGCAGCTGGTGAGATACATATAGAGTCTTACACAGTCCATACTGTGGATCCAAATTTGCAAGCTTGGCGTATGCAATATCCTGTTTTTCAAGCCAAGCATTAGAAGTTAGAACCTTAAAATATTGGGCCCGCAACATGAATTATTCTCCTAGTCTTGAAAAACTTGAAATTAGCAAAATTTATTACCTGAGGGATGCAAAGACTCGCAATAGTGAGACCAGATATTAAATCCCCTCTAAATTTTTTAAGATTGTAACTTCTTCCCCACTTAAGTATGGGGAATATGGCCTCAATACCAAGGACAAGCTTCCTTGATTTAGTTTGATCTTTGAAGGGTCTTAGAGGATCATCAGCAAAGAATGTTTCTTTTATGGTGGCTTGGAATTCCTTGAACAGGTTCTGTCTTGGAGGAACCGCCACTTTGTAGACTTGTGGTGCCTGACCATGTGAAGAAGATGACATACTTCTCAGATCGACCTCTTTAGTTTCAAGATTTTTATCAGCAGGAGGACCCATTGAAGACATGAACCGTGACCTTCAGTCTGTAATACAGGAAAAGTCATAACCAGACATACTGGACAAAATAATGACTTCAACGAGTGTGATTAGTAATCACAAATATGATTTATATTGCATGCAAAGTCTACCATTTTACTTATAGCTCTAATATACAATCTATAAATAAGGATAATCAGGCCACTGAATATGGAATTTTGAGATGTTGATTGATGATAGATAGATCCTACTAAGTTAAGTATGAAAAATAATTCTGAAATGTTTAGCAACCTGAATAGAAGAGAAGGGGATACGTGATAGAAGATTTGAATGGTCACTGGTTCCAGCAGTAATGCCTTCTTAAGCAGGTAAGCTTTGGATTATAACCTCAAAGACTTTATCTTTCAGGTCAATGTTCTCAAGCTGGGATTGGAAAACAAGACCATATTAATGTGTGAACCGGATCGAAGACATGTCAAAATCATGCATTACAATGCTTAGTTTTCAATCCTGACCAAACTACCCCGGAATTAATTCACCCAACTCAGATAGTCTTCTAGCAAGTTCAGAACTGTCGTAACATTAGAAGAATGGCGGGGAATGCGATAAGTATTGGTGTTGGAAGCAAACTTTGTACATCACATTACAATCTGCAATTACTATGTGCTTTATTTTAAAATCACAAAGTCAATAAATTTTAAATAAAGAAAAAGACAAAGAGGTTAAACATGTCAACATATGACAACCAACCATTGGAAGTGCTAGTTTTTGGGAGTGGAATTGTTAGCCGATTTCTTATGTCAAATCTCAAGACTAATTTGTTGAAAAGAAAGATTTCGCAGATTTTATGATGACTCCCAAAATGTCTAATGTAAGCTAAAGATAATCAGAGAATACAGTTCTTATTGTGGGAGACCGATGGCAAAATTTTGGGTGCAATTAACAGTATAAGTAAATGGTCTTTGTATGCACCTCTTCACAAGCACGAGCACGAGCGAATCTCACGCACATGTCCCTCTCACTCACAAAAGCATAGATACAAAATTCTCAATTATCATCTTTGCTAGTTCTTGAACAATACAAAAACATGTAACTCAGAAAAAGATTACAAAAGGAATCAAGTTCTTAAACCTCAATAGATTTCAAAAAACCATAAAGTTCCAAACGGAAATAAACAATATTGAAAAGTCCAAAGTCCAAACCGTGTTTTGACTGTCAACAGAGTCACAATAATTGCATCTAAATTCATAACTTACTAATGTCAAGATCAATATGTAATTAGCGCATATTTGGTTTCACACGTATGATTAAATTAAATACGGATCCAAAAAATCCATGTTATGAGTCCATGAAATGCATTCTACTAATACTAATCTAATATCATAAGTTCTCATCAACGTGGCGCCGCAGAATTTACTTCATTTCACTTTATATGGCTGCAGGGTAAAACAGTGAAGAACATGGCAGCATCATGCATTCAGAACTAGACAACCAAAATCTGGACATTTCCTCAGTCCCAGCCCTTTACGAGTTATGAACCACCAAGTGATTATTCCAAAATCGTTTGGAGAATAAAGTCTAAAATAGACTCCCAATACACCCATCCTTCCTAGGCTTCTCATGCAAGCCATTGACAGTGGAGGATTCCAATTACACTAACACCAAAAGCATTCTTTTTTCTTCACAAACTCACTTTAACCCTTCCCATGTCAGAATTCGTGTAAAGCACAAATAGAACATAAAGGCAGAATGACCTACAAGACACGGAAGTGAAAAAAATAAAACTAACTAACAAACAGACATTTGTACATGCGATATATATACATATACATGTCTCAAAAGGGAACTAATACCCATGAATTAAAAGAGTAGACTAAATAGGTTGGCCCCCCACTCCCCACGTACCATTACCATCGGTTTTCCTTCTCACATGTCTCTCTGAAAAGACTCGACTTCTACTTTTGAACGTGAAAGCCAGAGCAGACAAAATGACTAATGCAGCAGAGGTTGGGAACGGAACAGTTACATTCAAGAAAGAAAACCGACGGAACCCGGCACAGTGAGAGAATAGTTTATCCTTAAACATGTTGCGTTACGAATAGACTTTGTTCACTGTCCAGGTTCAATGAACCATTTAGGTTCTGTTCTCGGTGTTATCACTTGAATCTGAGCCTGTAATAAGGTTTGGTTAACAATCGTGAACTTCGGAGGACAAACCCTATTTGGTTGCCGAGAAAAAATGTGTCCAGACGTCCGACAGAAATAGAAAACATAAAAGAAAATCCCCAAATAAAAAATGAAAAGCTTAAAAGCTATACCTAATGTCCCCACGATGCCCTTCCAAGGAACACTTTGTTAACAAAGTTCTCAACATCATTATTATTAATTTTAATGACTGCCTTCTTAATACTAGCACGGTAAAAGTGGCTTTGGTGCCAAACCAAACATGCATTAAATGAACAAACTTAATAAGATTACGATATTCAATGGGAATTACTACAATTTACAAACAAACACATGTGCAATACACCTGTCTTGTAAATTCTACCCCCTCTTTTTCTTTATGTTATTTTTGTATGAACTGAAAACACACAATCAATTTTCTTAACTTTAATAAATAATTATACAATTTTTTATTTATCTATTTCTTCTTGACTCCATATTTAAAAGAAATAAATTTGACACTTGGAAACAAATCGAAGCAGTAATCGCTTGATTAAAAATACTTCCGTGACCGGCTGGGAATGTGATTGAAAAGTGAGGTATGGTTTGCTTTATTTAGTAGATAATAGAAAGTAGTCGGGTCAATGGTGTATTTAATACGGTTTGAAGTTTGAACAAGGAGGACATAGCGTCCACGTTCAGAGTAGGCATGCGGGAATGCCATTGCAGGCCTTTTAATATTCAAACTCTCTTTTTTTTCTCCAAACCATGCTGCTTTTTAACTTTCACTCTGGCGATAGTTCGATAAACCCAAGTAAAAATGGGATTAATTTATCCTATTTTAATTCATAAATAAAATTTAAACATGTATTTTAACTTTTACAATTACTGAAATTGTTATCTATTTAATCCATCATAATTTATTTTTTATGTTCGTTTATTTATATTAAGTTAAAGTTTCGTATGAAAGACTTCAGCTTGATGAGGTTTCTGGGTTAGCGTGTAGCTTTTTTTACACTAGTCCAATAACTTATTTAGTAATAGCTTTTAACGTATTTTAAAACGAAGCCGTATACCTATATATATATATATATTTTTTTTTTTCTTGTTCAAATATTTATTAATTTTTAAAAATATGTTAGATTATATGTTAATGTGATTTTTTTAGTTTTCCTTTTTTTTCTATATATTATAATATTTTTTTAACTATCATATTTTCTATATACTTTAAGAAATTGATAATGATAGATTTTTATTTTTTTTGATAAATTTTATGTTCAACTATTTGTTTTTAACCAATACATTAATTAATATAACAAATATTACACGTTCTTAAGTATACATTGTTTTTACTTATTTTTCAATTGATTGAAAATATTTTAAGATATAATATAAGATTACTAATATAATATATAATATGAAAAAAATATAATAATTAGGAAATAAACTTGTACTTAAAATAATCCATCTATAAACAAATTTTTTCAAGAGTCAAAAGATAATTTTAAAAACTATAAGTTATAAACCTCTCAAAATATATTTTTGACCATAGAGTAAAAATGAAATTTATATAAAACAAATATCATGATTTTACATTTTGAACTATTATAGAAAATAAATTTATTAATAATTTATTTAATAAACTAGTTTAACAGTTTTTAGCTACCAATTATCAACTCTTTAGTTATCAATTAACTTTTCAACTTTGGACTAATTTTTTTAACTAGTTTTGTCAAACATCACCGCGTCAATGTGGAAAAAACTTTCTTATGATAATTATTTTAAATCTTTTATGTCAACTATGTAATCAATGTATAATTACGGAAGCATGAAAAATTTATACTTTTATGTCGATTAAGATTTAACCAAAGTAATATTTTTTAACTTAGTTATAAATTTAATTAACATAAAAAAAATCAATTTTAGTTTTTTTTTTATCATGAATTTTTAACAATTTGGTAGCCATCACCACAATCTATGGTCCCATGACTGCAAGCACCACCACATCCTTTAATGCCATAAAATCCTCTAACGTCATCGTCATAAATACTAAAACGATCTTCTACAACTTCAAATGCAACATATCTCGAGATCAACAACTCAATATTGTCTACCAAGTTCTGCATAAAATCTAGATAAAATTTTGCAATTTCTTGAAGCAAAAATCTATACGAGAATAATATCTTGTTCTTCAAAAATAGAACAAGAGAGAAATTTTTGGTTCGTACAAAACAAAACTAACATTAATCGAAAATGTATTTATCTAATTTTCAAATTCATAATATTTATTATATAATGAAAATAATTTTTATATTAATATATAATAATAATAATAATAATACACCATTAATCTATTTGGGAGTTATAATCAACATTAAACAGAAATAATTTATTCAAATTATTTGATTTTCATTCATAAATTTTATTATTATTATTTTTTTTATTGACTTAAGTGTAGAAGTATTTTTATAAGTGAACCTTTTTTTTTTTTTTTTCACATTGAGCCGAGTTCGTGTTAGGAATCAAATTAACTACAAAAGAACTTACAACTAAAATAAAAGATGATAAAAGAGAAATAAAACCAATAATAGGCAATAATATAATTTTACTACCAAAAAAAATTATAATACCCTCTTTAAATCTAAGGAGAAAACAATAATAATATTTTTTCTAGAAATAAGAGAACTCAACTACTATGCAATGCACTAGTAAAAAGGAGAATGAAAAGATTTTGGGTGATTTCCAAGGTAGACATTGTGCTCCTTTTATAACAGGAAAAATAAGCACCAACATATAATTTTCCTAATGTGAGACTTCTCTTCTCACATTCTTACAATCTCCCACTTAAAGATTTTGAT